TTTATTTAAAATATATATTTGCTTGCATGGAAGAAGGACAGTCATATGGGTTTGAAATGACATGAGGGTGAGTAAATGATGACAGAATTTTTATTTAGAGTGAGCTATCCCTTTAAAGACCACTGACTCCTTTCACTGCCTGTTAAATACTGTCAGACATATCACACATTTCCACCTTATCCCTGTCACCACCTCTATTTCTCCCTTATTTCTGTCTCCCTCTCATCCCCGATGCAGGAAAACATGACCAACGTTTTTTTTTTTCCCATGGTTTGTTTTGGCTGGTAAACCTTGACCCTTGTGCTCCATGCTGCATGCACTTTCACAAAGCGGGCTTCTGCCTTTCTGGGACGGGGCAGCCGATGCACAATCCACAGACTATTAGATAAGGCCAGAGGATATCCTCTCCTTTACAAGCCCAGGAGAAAGAGAGAGGGGAGATGAGAAATCATAACAGAGAGCGCAAGAAAATGGAAAAGAATGTGAGAGACATTTGATAAGAAGCTAGTAAAAACGGTTAGAACAGTTGTTTACTGCCTCTTGTGAGGCTTGTTTATGGGTATTTGTCAAATGTCAAGCTGTGGATACTTCATCTAAGACCATTTGAAAAGAGATTTTTCTTGTTATTGTGCGTTATACATGTTGTTGGTGATAAAATTAGTAATTGACGGACCATATGAAATGTCTGTACTTTGATTTAAAGACAATAACAATCAAATTTGACTCTTTTTACTTACATCTGGTATGTAACGGACACTTCACTATTAGGGCTGCACGATATATCGTTTCAGCATCGATATCGCGATGTGCGCATTCGCGATAGTCACATCGCAGGATATGCGATGTTTAGTATACTGACCGTTATATTTATACTGATCGTTTTCTTTGCTCACACACAGACACTGTGTCACCGGATGCGACATCTGTTGTGTCGTGCCGCCCCGCGCCACAGCTAAAGTCTGTCTACACTGGACGCGACAAAGCGACCTTTGCAAATCATTTGAACTGTATGTCAGTACGTCATAAATAGAACGTGGCATCAGTTTACTGTCGAGGATTTGTCATGTGTCGCGCCGCATCCAGTGTAGACAGCATCACTGATTATAATGGGTTCTACAGTATTTTTGTCGCATCGCGCTGCGCAGCTCACATCCAGTGTAGACACAGTGAGAGCCGCGCAGATGCACGTGAACTCTGAATTCCGTTCACTTCTGCGTCTATTAATGACACATACGCGCGAAATTACGTCAAAATGCATGCCTCTGCAAGTATCCTTGTAAACACAGTTGCTTATGGCTTAGGTGAAGGTAAACAATTGTGAAAGAAAATGGATGTGTGAGAAAATTTTGTAGCTTTAGATTTAATTTATACAGTGAAGACTTTGCCGTGATATTTTACATTTGATTATTCAGTTTCTGTACCTGAATACTGTTAGACTTACCTGAAAAAAGTAAAGCACCGTTCATTTGTATCTTTGTTTTATTTATCTATGCTTGTAATTTGTTTATTTTCTATGCTGATTTACTCACCTACAAAATCACCCCAATCATTGATTTTTTTTCCAAATAGTGCTATTCAAGTGATTTTTTTTTTCATATCGCAATATATATCGCAGAAAAACAAAATATCGCAATGTGAGTTCCAATATAATGCAGCCCTATTCACTATCCAATCATCAACGTGCTCAGCCTCTTAAACAACTTCTAGTCTCTGATGGTATCGCCAAGGTCGTGTGTTGTATTAGATAATATAAACAGATAGCAATTCAACCATTGTTTTAGCAAATCATTGTTCTATCCAATCACTTCCTGACCAAAAAAATCAAGGCCCACCCCTTTTTTCTCGTTGAATGTCATGTTTTACTCATTCCTGCTTTCTTAATTCACACTCCTGATCAGTGCTTGTTATTCTGAGGGGAAAAAACACTCTTCGTAATTCTTAATCAGAATTAAGTAACTTGCTCTGCCTCTTAAACGACTTTCCATCTCTGATGACGTCATCAAGGTCAATGGCAGTTTACACAAATAGCAATTTAACCGTTGTTTTTGCTAACTCTCATTCATGTCACATGACTCCATTCTGGTACTTAACACACAGTTTTCACAATCCAATCATTTACTGATCGATTAAAATCAAGCACCGTCCCTTTTTTCTCATTGAATATCATGTTTTACTCATTCCGGATTTCTTAATACACATTCCTGATCAGTGCATGTTATTCTGAGGAAAAAACAAAACACTCTTCGTAATTCTTAATCAGATTTAAGTAACTTGCTCCGCCCCTTAAACGACTTTCCATCTCTGCTGACATCACCAAGGCCACCAATGGCAGTTTACACAAATAGCAATTTAACTATTGTTATGGCTTACTCTCATTTACGTCACATGGCTCTATTCTGGTACATAACATAGTTTTCAAAATCAGTTTTCACTTACTAATCAACTAAAAACAAGACCTCTTTGTATATTTTTGTTTACTCGTTTAAAGAAGCAAAAAGTTCGTTAAAAAGTGGGATAATGGCCAAAGCACCTAAAATATACACAATATCCTTGATACATTCACCTAAAGTCTTGATGTTCAATAAAACAGTTGGTGTTTGTCAACTACCCAGATATAGTGTCCCGAGGCCCAGTGCAGTTCCACACGGCACTCTTGTTGCTGTGCTGGAGGCTTGTTGAGGTCTCGGTGCTGCTGTGAAAGGCGAACCCTGGCCCCTCCCTACATGTGTATGCGGTGCTACAGTGGACACAGCTGGGAGTGATTATCCGTGTTGAGATATAGAAGCCCTGCCCCTTCCCTCGCCCCTGTCTCCCTATATGAGGCACTCATGGAAATGCCCTCGCTGAACTCCGGGTGCATATGCTCCCTATACTGGAATTCTAGTGACGAAGGTTCCTTCGCTCGCCCGCTCTCTCCCTCCTCAGCTCCATTGCGTCATCCCTCTATTTTCCAAGTAATGGTGCACCTCACTTGTGCTCGGTATTATTGTTGTTTCACAGTATGTACAGCTGTGTGGAAATTTTGACTTTTTGCCTTTCTCGCTCTCGACCCTGTTGTCCACTGTTCTTGTCGCTTTGTCATTTTGTAATCTACCTTGACTTCCTGCCACATGCCCTCTAACATACGTCTCCCCTCCTTCTGATACCTCCCCGAACAAACTCTATCTCACTTCTTCTCAATCTCAGGGGCATCTGTGCAGGAATGCTCTCCGGGTCTGCAGTCTTTTAGCTCATGTCAGCACTTTCTCTTGCAATGAGCCATAGATATTACCCCTCCCTCTGTCCCTCTCTCTCCTTCTCTTCTCTCTCTCTGTTTTTATTATTTATTATTCTGCTTGTCCATGCTATACGTCTCCTCATCCAGCCAGTCAAGACTAAACTCATTTCTATTGTTGGTTTTATAGCTCGCCAGCCACCGAGCAGCGCAGGAAGTCGTTTAATAGCTACATCACTTCTTCTTGAGATTCGTCTTGTCACCCCCCTCTATACATATATATTTTTTCTCTGGAGAAGGAACCTAGGCGAGCAATGCAGTGTCTTGTAAATAAAACTTTTAAGATTCTTATGTTTTGCATTTATTTACATAATGTGAGCTGGTGTTGAGTTTGATCATTTGCCGAGTTCTTGTTCTTGTCATTGAGGATGTAATAAGTTTAAATAAAAACTAGCTTTTTTTGTCACAGCAGAAATTATCAAGAACATTTGAAATTATTCAAAAATGAATATATAATTAATATATACATGCTATTTTTTGTTTTCTAAAAATGTACTTATATATATTTTATATAGTTTCAGTTTCACTCTAAATAAATTAGTTTAGGCTTGCCATTTATTAAAAAAAATGTTGTTTATAATTTGTAATGCAATAATTTGTTTGTTTTATGCTAATTTTTGTTGAGTGAGGACAAATAGAATACCAGCACGGATCAACTCCAGGCATGACGAAGCAGATATCGTCCTCTTTTGGAAGGCCAAACAAAGTAGTTTCGCTTTCCCAACGAAACACACAGCGCCTTCACGACATGGCGGCGGCAACAACAATACTACAGCAAGAATAAAAGTTACGCCTTCTTTCTTTGCGTGAACATTTGGGCGGCGTTATGCAAATCTTCCCACATCATGATGTACATATGTGGGGGTGTGTTAGAACGAGCCGTTTTAGGTAGGCATGGCTGACTCTTAACTTTTATAAAGAATATCTCTTTGGATTTGAGACTTTAGTCTTTGCAACTTTACAGATCTTCTTTATGCACCAAGAGCTTGTAACGCTCCAAAGAGAAAGGAAAAATTGAAATCGCATCATATGACCCCTTTAACTTCTAAACTAGTGCATTATGTATGTACCATAATCATAAGATTATGTCTAACTTGTGATGATTAATCTTGCCATATCAGCAGTTTTTCACACAATATGTAAGATATGGTCATTATGGGAAATGCAGTCCACACTGACTGCATGTTTTGATTCTGTGGTGTTGGATGGTAGTAAGTTTAGGGACGTCTTGTTGTCTGTAGTTGGATCTGAGGCTGATATGGGCTCCTCCAGCACAGCAGCAGCCCGCAGGATGTGTGGCAGGTCCTGGGTCAGCCGTAGTCAGCACAATGAACACAGTAATTGTGGTCTGTCTGTCTGCTGGAAGAGGCAACTGATTTCTGCCTGCTGCACAAAGAATGTGAAATTTAGACTGAAATTTCACCATACATCATATGTAAAAACATATATAATCATGCTTTCCTATGTAGCTCCTTGTTTATGTGTGTGCGCCGCACTGCAAAGAGCTTCTGCCCCACAGTACTGCAGACACTCATGGGACCAAATCCAGATGTTCTCTACCCTCAGTGTCACTCTAAATACTCCATATTCCCTTCCCCACTGGGACTGTGTGTGTGTGTGTGTGTGAGTGTGTTGTTGGCATAAACGCTGCCATTCCTCTGTATTTTGTCATGTTCATTCCAATAACAGTTTTTCTACTCTTTTTTTTTTCTATTTTTTCTTTTAGGGCACCTTGGCTTCCAGGACAGTTTCGTCACATCAGGTGTCTTCACCGTCTCTGAGCTTGTGCGAGTCTCACAGAGTAAGATCTCTACAACTCCCTGCCCACTGCAAAAAACTTTTTGGGCTTATTTTACAGTTATCAGAAAGTCCTTAAAACGGGATAAATTTAGTCAAGAAGCAACAATGCATGAGATATTAATACCTTTTTCCATTCAGTATGTCTTTAATATGAGTGTAGTTTTAAAAATATGGGTCATTGACATGCCACCAAAAATATATTAAAAATGCAGTTAATAAGTGATGAACATATTTCATGAACATATTTTTAAATTCTGAATAAAATAAACGTAATGTGGTGCAACTCCCCCTAAAAAATATATATTTATTAAGTAATAATATTTAATTATTTAACTTAACATTAACTTAATGTTACATAACTTTTTTATTAACAAAAATTAATAAGTGTCACTGGCCGATATATATATTAATGATACATTATTTGAAAACAAGACTTAATATGCAGTGTTGATTCTCATATAAATGTATCGTCATTTAAAGATTTCTTACGATCCACGTTTAAGATTGTGACCCTTACACAACCTTAAACGTGGCATGATTTAGTGCCATAAGTTTTCTTAGACTTGTTACACCCTAGTATATAAAGGCCAGCAGCACAAAAAAACCGCAACATCTGAAGCATCCTAGTTCAAGCACCTTAAATTCAGCCCAAAGGTAGGATGAAGCTAGTGATTAACCAGTGTGCTGGAGGAAAGCTTCTCTGGTTTCTCAGCGCTGTTTTCAGAACAATGGGCTGAATCCACTATCCCTCCACTCATTAGAAATCGAAACGCCAGCAAAATGCAGCAGTCAGCTGAAAGTGCTTCATTGCAGTGCGGTTCAACAGTACTTGTACTCTCTTAAAGTTTTTTGTGCAGTCTTTTTTAGACAGTGTTTCTTTTATAAGCTGTTTTCCCTAAATAAGTTGTACTTTTATTGCAGATGCAGTTTTACAGAAGTTAAATGTTTGGTGTTCAAATTTATTAATAAAGAGAAGATAGCGAGAATTTTCACAACTTGAGGAAACAATCGAGTCATTCCCAGATTGATAGAGCAATAAGGCAGAATGCAGAAGAAGAAAAGTAGACTTTCCAGAGGAGGCTGGGAGGATGGGATGGGAGTAAAAAACGTGACCTTTAAAAATTGCAGACGTTCACGGTGGAGAGTGACAGAGCGCAGCGCGATCCATACGTGCCTGTCGATACCCGCTAACAATAGCCGATCCAAAGCGCCTGTCAGCACTCGCTGGAGCCTTCTGATCAAAGGTGCATTGATCACACACCTTGTGAACGAAGGAGAGGAGAAGAGGGTGTCGTGGGGCCTGGGCAAAGAGCCCACCGTGGTCTCACCTCGCAGTCTGCCTTCAAAAACCCTCAAAGTGCCTGCCAATGCAAAGACAGCGTCTGGAGAGAACAAACATTTGGGTGCCACCACATTCTGGCGACGTGACAGCAGACGGGCGGAAGGAAACATACAGGTCAACGTGAGTCCAGCATGCGTGTGTGAGGCGATGCAAAAGGATGCGGAAAATGATGAAAGGTATCAGGAGAGAGAGGAAGACAGAGATATTAAAACTCAGCCAGTACTGTGCTGCATCAGAACTCCTGGCGTATGATGGTAACAAGATTAAGGAATATGCATAATTGATCCAGCTCTGCGGAGAGATCGGCTTTTATCCTAACATCTGTGACACACTGAGAAGAAAAGCAAATGCTGGGTGGCATATGCTGGATGTTCAATTCAAATCAAAGTGTTCTGCTCTCTTTTTTCTATCGTTCTCTTTATTCTTCTCTCCTCTCCACAGTCCAGTGGCTCTTAGTCGGCAGGGGGTTGCCAATGTTGGTCTGTAGAGCATATTACTCTTGAGCCCCAACGGAAGTTGAACAGGAAGAGGATTTTAGTGACGTTTACCCTTTCCGCAAAAGTTCTCAACAAGTTGAATGCTGGCTTGCTTGAAAGTTTTAAAAATGTCTAGATAGATAGATTTTCCAGAATGCATCTCCTTTGTTGAATATCTTTCAATTCTATAAATCCCCAATTCAAGTTTCTGAGACTTGGCCAATTCATTAAAATTCACACTCATGAATTGAAATTGAGCCAGTTCTTCAATTTTGAATTTTGCGATAATCCGCAACAATAGTCCACTGGTCACCTGGCGGGGCATCTTTAAAACTCCTTCACCTCGTCTTCCACTCTCTACGGAACGGAGATTTGACAAAATCTCACCCTCCTGCGTCAACCACTTTCCTTCCTTAATGGGCAATACAATCTAAGAAGTTCAGCAGTCAGCAAAGCCCACAGTTAGCATAAGTCCTCTAACAGGATTGCTCCCTATAGAGTGACTGTGAATTAAAGTGCTGTATGCATGCACACTCATGACTTTGGTAGCTTCTTGTGGAAGGCACCGAGATGTTGATTGGAAGATGGGTAAAAGAGGGTAATCTGGTGTACTGAAGTGGCGTGTGAATTGCCCAGAGGAGTTCCGATGGAGCTTCTGTGTTGGAGCGTCTGGCAGATTTATTTAAGGGGTTGAGTGCAGGCTCGTGCCCGTTCGGAAGATGAAAGGTCGTGATATTGAATGGACAACGGGCTGCCTTAGCTCTTCCCTGACTATACACTATGACCTTGGCTTTGTGCACCCATTACACAATTCAGTGGCAGCCCAATCGAATCTGCTTCTGTCGATCAATATCCTATTAAAGCACCACACAAAAAAGGAGAGGAAGAGAACGAGAGAGAGGAGGAGGGGCTGTCGGTAGTGGGGGAGAGCGAAATGAAAGTCTCCATAAAGTTAGCTGCTACAGCTAAATTTTTGTAAATGGAACTCAGCATAATTGGCCAGTCGATACCAAGCTGGGGTAATTTCGGAGATTGGGTCCGCCTTTCCATATCCTCCTCCCTCCCCTGCTCCTCCTTCATCAGCTATTCCCTTCTACTTTCTCGAGTCTTGCAGGGTTCGTAAACGTTCCCGAGAAGAGCCACGAGTTTGTTTTTCTCTACAGCTGGCCCCCGTATGAAGTCGGACACTGTCACGCCACAGCTTGGCACGCCATCAAGCTCAGGTGAGCAAGAGGACTTGTACGTGAGCCAGTTTTTCTGTTGCTGCCGCCCACTCAGAGCCTCTCCAGAGGAGATTGCGAGGGCTACAGAAGAGACAGGAGAGGATACAGGATTAGGATGAGGTTATTGTTATTAGTCCACCTGCAAGAGCCTCGCAGAAATGTTGGCAAGCAGCAAGGCAGCATGATCCAGGGGCAGAGACACCTGGAAATCCCTGGGTGAAGGCCGGGCACTGGCACACACCATTTAGCCATATGACCGAACAGGGGGAGCGGATGAATTATGGAGTAGGAGAGCAGGCCGCTGTGGCAGAGACACTGCCGAGCAGCACTGGTGGGGTTACGCCCACCAGTCTTGTCAACACTGTGCCAACACTGGGCCAAAGCCTGCCAGTGGGCAGTGCCATCTGCAGTGAAATGCGCACATGAGGCTTGAATCTTATCAACAGTAGCTTGCCATAAAATGGCCTACATTTTCACTATAATAAAAATACATATGCTGTAAAAGTAGGAATGCCACCAATATGTTGATTTTGTTAAAATTTCCTCACGCTTGTGTCAATCCAAACATTTGTTTCTTCTGTAGAACACCAAAAAAGATATGCTGAAGAAATGTCTAGTTTTTCATCCAGCTACAGGTTTGGAATGACTTGAAAGAAAGGTGAGGAAATTATGTGATTTTTGGGTGAACTAATTCTTCAAGTCAAACCAGCAAGGTGGTAAACCAGCAACCTGCTGATTATCAGCTGTTCTTCACAGTGTTTTTACCAGGAGTAGTAATATGCTGAGTCCAGGACTACTTCTTGACCTTCCTCAACTGGACACCGACATGCGGACTTCACCAGCGAAGTTCCTTCTGCCTTCTCTTCTCATTTGGCTTGATGGGAAACTACACAGTGAAGGTGTAAGGTCTAGCCCCATGCGAACCCTCTTCTCCAGACTGAGAACTCTGGACCTATGCTGTAGGTCTATATCCTCACAGGAGCTGATCCAGCAGAAAACCCCAACGAAGACCTGTCAAAGCTCACCAACTTCAGACCAGCTCTAGATGAGATCCCATCACGCCACGGTCCTCTCGCTCAATAAAGCGATGAGGAGTAAGGCGGGGGGAAGACGGGGTGAACAGACGTCCAGGGTTTTGAAGTTGATTTCTGCTGCCTTTGTTGTCAAATGCTTCAATTTGAAAATCCGGCCTGAACAAAAGCCGATTTTTTTTCTCCTCTCTCTTTCTCTTCCTCCTCCCCCTGCTCTTTTCAAATGAATAGCCTCCCCAGCTTTTGTAGATGCTTTAGCGGCCAGTGTTTGGGTGAAGGGGAGGAGTATGTCTGTGTGTGTGTATGTTAAGAGGGATTGTCAACCCTTGAGACAAGAGACTACACCAAAAAACCTCCAACACATCCAGTAGACTCGGTCACTTTGCTGTCTGACAACAAACTTCCCGTAACTTGGCGGCCTCTAGTCTGAAACCTGTTTGCCTGGTTCTCTTTTACAATACTTTTACCTTGCTTTCTACAAAACTTACTATATGTTTAGAAGATGACAGAGTATTTTTAGTTCTTTTCGCAGTCATCAAGAAAAGAAAGTGACAAAACACACCAGTGCGGACTTTGACCCCAGAGGGTTAAATTGCAGCGATGGACGATATATTGGTACCACATCAGTTAACGGTCAATATTGGAGATATACATTTTTTTAAATTTTATGTCGTTTTTGACTATTTTTAGGCAGATTTCTTTTGCAGTCAACTAATTAAGTTAACCACTTTTGTCAGGTTTAGCTAACTTGAATTGCGGCCCATTTTTTGTCCCAGATGCACAGCTAAGTAAACCCACTGGCTGCACTGCCATTCCTCTGCACTAAGTAAATAGAATAGATTGAAACATTTTGCTAATGTACTTTGCGCCCAGCAACTTGAAAGGTAAAGCAGTAAAGATCAGAGAGAGAGAGAACAGAAGGGGAAGGAGAGAAGAGAGAGAGAGATCAATGCCGGCCTGATAGCCACAGGCTTCATTTGGAATCCTCCAAGCAAAAGCACTTGATAAAGCCTTTAAGAGGTAGAGACTGCGGATTACCTTTATGATTGATTTCCATTCCAGTCAGACAGACTGCAGTGTGGTCATTTTTCTACCCAAACTGCAGCAGCAGGGCCGGCCACTCTCAGCGCGAGGGCGCGTTTGTGTGTATGTGTGTGCGCATCGAGGGACGGCTGAGTTACTGCAGCCCGGTGCCCAGGTTAGCTCTCACACAAATTACTTCACATCCTACTATTAGCCATGCAAATGCAGCCGGCTTTACTGCTTGTCATAAATAACCCGCGCTGTCACTTCTATTAGAGCGAAGGACCGCCCACCCCCCTCCAAAATAAAGTTAACATTAAGAGATGACTCAGAAATTATAGCACTTCCTTTCTCACTTCCTACGTGTCCAACTTTTAGCTGTTGGCTAGTGCACTGGCTCTCTCTCCCTCCCTTGGTCCAACTTGCCCCTTTAGCCGTGTCCTCTTCCAATGTTAATTAGGCAGCCCATTACCGTGTCTATCACAATCTTCCGCCGCTCTCTTACACATTCGTGCTGTCCTCATCAAAAAATAGTGGTCTCAGTCACCATGAATATAAAGAGGCATCACGGCTTTATGTACTGTATGACAAAGGCGTTTGATAGAGCATTGCTCACCGATGACCTACAGAAAGGGGCACGGGGGGATTTGCAGCCTGAGGCGATTCGCTCAGGGAGGAAAGTTTTGTTACCAGCACAAGTGTTTCAGTAAGTTAAGCAAATGTCAGTTAACTTATTTTTTTCTTTTGTTGAAAAAATAAAAAGTTTGAATTGAATTGAATTTAATTGAACACACCCAATAGGAAGTAGAATTTGAATGACAGGAAGAAGAATTGTACATAATATTAGCTTTTTTTATCTATCTATCTATCTATCTATCTATCTATCGTTCTGTGTATCGTTCTATCTATCGTTCTATCTTTTTATCTATCTATCTATCGTTTTGTCTTTTTATTTATAGTTCTGTTTTTTTTTCAGCTGGACTAACATGAAAATGTGTATAGCGTGAGCTAAATCAGCAGTTTATGATACAGTTGTCAGATTTTATTGCTGTTTTCAAATTAAAAAGTCAGCTTGTTACAGCCAAAATGGCAGTCAAGTGAACCAACTCAAACTTTACTTGTACTTCAGCCATGAAAATGAAGATGAACTGCTTCAAAATGTGATGCTTAAGACTGTTTTTGTTCTCAGGTATTGATATTTGTTCTCTTTTCTGTGTGTGGCAGCCCCCATCGCGGCAGGGACGGGGCCCAACTTTTCGTTGGCAGACTTGGACAGCTCTTCCTACTACAGTATGAGCCCTGGGGCCATGAGGCGCCCCCTACCCAGCACTTCTTCTAGCAGGTATGCACTGGAAAGACACACACGCACACACTCTCTCTCTCCTTCACTCTGAGTCTTAATTAATCAGCCGAGGCAGAGATTGATGTGTTGGCTGAGCGTTCGAAGAGGCTGCAGGAGTCTGAGCTACACAAGCTTCCAGCATATGTGTGTCCACCTGGAACCTTCTCCCTCTGCCACCCGCTCAGCCTACAGGCCAGTCGCACACACATACTGCTCCCCCATGTAAAACCGCACTGCGTGGCACCCTGTGTGTGTGGACAGATGTGTGTATGTTTGGATGTGTGTGTGTGCACAGCTGAAACGCAACATATAAATGGTCACTGTGAATTCACTGATGGGCCAAATTTCGCTGTCACTTTTACATAACGCAGCATACCTAAAATCCACAAGCATACAAACGTACATAAACATTTGCGCTAATATTTAACATGTGCATTTGAAAATACAACAATCATCATGTGTATGTTCATTTTAGCCATTTCCGTTAAACAAATTTGTTGAATATGGCAGAATGTGCTCGTTAGAGTATTTTTGGACATCATAGGTGCTTTTGATGCACAAAATTGTAGTTTAGAGCGCTAGCTCGCTAGCTTTGGAGCGCATGTGTATGTGGTCAAATACATCTGTGTGTGTGTACTTGTGTGCGTCTGCCCACATGCTTCAGTGGCCTCTTCAGCCAGGCCTGCCAAAGCAAACATCTGGAATAAGGACCCTGTGTGTGGCTGCATGCTAGAAACTAATTAAGCGATTATGAGTGAAAAACACCAGTAGGCCTTACATTAACAAATAAATGTCAGAGCTCAGCTTACAGCAGATAACTCACACACACATGACCGCCAGCCTCCAATGACTCACTTTTTCAGTGTGTGTGTTAGATTGTAGTATGTCTGTGTGTGTGTGTTTGAATAAGCTTGCACACGTCTTTGCTGTCCACCTTTTTGACTTGAATAAATATGTTGTATAGTCCATATGAAAATCAAATTTTACTATTTAACTTGTTAAAATGTCTTTAATTACTCTAAAAATAAGTTTTTCATCATTTTGTACCGAAATATAATAACTTTCTTCTCCTCTGAGATAACTTTTCCACTGATAAAGATAAGTAAATAAGTAATTCATTACGTATTCATTTATATCAATCTTATTGTATATTTATATCAAGTCCAGTTAATTAGTTATTTATTGATTGATTTCATTGATTTATTTCATTTTAGAGCTATATTAATAAATATCTATCTATCTATCTATCTATCTATCTATCTATCATCTGTCTATCTATCTATCTATCATATACACATTTCATGAAATATTGCAATAAATACATATCACAAAATGTAAAATAAATTAATGAATTCATTTCTAAAATTTTAAACAATTATTTATAGATAGTATTTATTGATATTTATTTTCATATATTTTACGATTTAATTCATTAAAACATTTTAAAATATATATAGATTTTTTAAATAAAAGATGTGTTTTTAGTATGGCAGAATTTGTGTATTTTGTATTTTTATATATACATTTTATATTTATTGATATTAGTTTATTTTCATATATTTTATAATTTAATTTGTTAAAAGACATTTTAACACATTTATTGATCTTTTTAATAAAATACATGTTTTTTTTATGTTTTTAGATTAAAATACATGTTTACTATAAAGTTTTGTTGCAAACGACTGAAGACATTATAGTACTATATCTCAGCTCGCCCCTCAACATGCACGCGTTCGGAGATTCGGCAGCCCAACACTGAATATTATTTTGTGGGCGTTGTATTTTAATTAATAAAATCAAAATTATAAAAATTACAATACAAAAATGACATTTAAATTACCCTGCTTCTAAATAAATAAAGCAGTTATTTTTATTTAGTTAAAAATGGGCCAAAAGAGACCTCCGAACTAGTAGGCTACCAGAAAGATAGAATTCATCTTTGCTCAGAATTCGTTTTTAATCCCTGCATGATTTTAGTCATACATGAAAAATATCAACTACGTTACAGCTTGACTACAAGTTTAAAAACAACGCTGCAATTGTTATAATTAAGGAAATTAAACTTACCATCATGAAATGTCTACACAGGCGATAATGCCAAAAAGAAAGAGAAACATCGGAAAATAGGTTATAGAAAATATTTTATTCAAGACAACTTACGTAGACGATATTATCGGATATCGCGGTATTTTTAAAGGCGATTATCGATAAGATATTTTTGACATATCGCCCAGCCCTATTGCTGGGAGAAAAAAAACCATACATTTGCAGAATGAAATGTGTTCGATTTTACTCATCCACCCTCTTTCTATCTGTCTTTTGTCGCACAGTTCTGCAAAGCGTATCAAATGCATGGAGGATGAGGTGGACAGCCCGGGAGAGGAGTCCTACTACCCAGGTCAGGGACGCTCGCCTGGAAGTGGCAGCCAAGCCAGCAGCTGGCATGAAGTAGAGCCAGGTAACCGTCCACCCTGAAAGCCAGCCTCCCCCGGCGCTCTCACACACACACATATTCACACTCTCACACACTGTGGGGTTGTGCGGGTGGAGAGCGAGTTATCGGATGTGCTGTGTGTGTGTGTGTGTGTGTGTGTGTGTGCATCCTGTGCTGTGCGCTGGTTGTGGGATGGCAACAGCTGTGTGGGGATTATTTCTGTTTCTTCTTCTGTTTTTTTGGGGTGTTTCAGCATCTATGATCCGTCTCTCCGGGTATGACATTTCGGAGATGGCACCCTCTAACTCAAATGGCACCTCATTTGTTTTTCTTTCCGAAAGATTTCCGCCGTCAGTCCATCTCAGACGTTAACCGTAGATGGCTTGTAGATACAGACTCATTTAACTTCATATCCATGTGTCTACTAATGATGCTAACAATGTACGAAGGGTCCCGTATGCATGTGGGTTTGAGTGCTGAATCATCCTGGAGTGTATGTGTGTCCTGTGAACCTCGCCGCATTGCCACAGAGCACAGAGGACTGTAAGTCTGTCCCGCTCCCAAGCGTCTTCAATCAAGTCACGCATGCCCTCGATATTAGAAATAGACGCCGCATAGTGGACAGAGATAAAGAGGAAACACGCGTCGCATATTACTGCCAGATCAGGACAGAGCTCCAGCAGTGAATCATTCAGATTCTAGTTCCACTTAAAGGTTCTAGTTCATTAATGATTCGTTTAATGATTCTTTTAGTACTTTTGATAAGTTCCAACAGGTGTTTAGTACCAGTGTTAGAGAGTCAGAAAAGGTTTGTCAGACTGATTCAAGTCGAGGAATCAGGTTTTACACTTTCCACAGATTTTTAGAGGAAATATGTGAAATTCCAAACGTAAATGGATTTTAACATGATAAATGTAGTTAAAAATCTAATATTTAAATATTGGGAAATTTGTATGCTATATTATAGAATATTTTTGTATTTATATCAATAATATACGTTTAAATATAATTTTATTAATAAATAATTAAATATTATTTTATATAATATTACACTTTATGATTTATTATGTTATTATTTCACATGAATATTATATTTCATATTTGAATGTAATGTTGTATTGATTGTTTTTTTATATTTCATAAAAATTCACAGGGATTTCTGTGGAGTTAGTGCAGACCTGCTCATGACTGTTTCTGTAATATAGTTTATAA